TGTATAATATATATTCATTCTGCAGGAGGTGCTAGAACAGCGCCACAAATACTGCAGGCGGACGTTAGCTGTGTTCATCAACTTCAAGATTGTATTCGATTCAGTCGATCGATCCATTTTGTTTGAAATACACACGCAGTAAGGCATTCCCACGGACATCTTATGTTCCTTGTCCTCAAACACCACAGGATACATCAGGGTCTACGCTAACTTGTCCTATATCTTTTCGTCAACAAGTAGCGTTCGTCAGGGTTGTCCATTTTTTCTTTTTTCAACTTCGTTGTGGACTGTATCATGGAGTGCTCCCTTGAGGAACTGCACGATGCAGGCGTTGAGGTGTTGCATAATGAGAAGCTAGTTGATTTTGATTATGCAGATGATATTGTCTCACTGTTTAACGACATCGAAGCGGGCCAGTCAACCCTGAATAGCCTCTCTCGTGTGATGACCCCATTATTTGGTATGCGCTTTTCACTTTCAAATTGTAAACTGTTGTTACAGGAATAAAAGCCATTTGAGGACCCTTTGATCCTTGATAACGAAGAACTCGTGGTAGTCGATCGACTCACTAACTTTGGTTTCTGCATCAGTAGTGATAAGCACATAGTAACTGAAGTCAGTTTACGCATTGCAAAAGCTGGAACTGTCTTCTAGAATCTGCGACATCTTTGGTGTTCGAAGGGCGTTTCCCTCGGTCTGTTTACAAGGCCACAGTGAGGGCCGTCCTAATCTATGGAGTAAAACGTGGTCCCTTCGATCTGAGGACCTGCAGCGCCTTCTAGTCTGGTCATGGTTGTCTGTGAAGCATTGCTGATGTGGGATGGCGCCATCGTGTCCGCAACGATAATGTGCGTAGGTGAGTGCTAGGCAATGATAACCAAGCAAGTTCCTTAGAACAACTGATAGCACTGAATAAGTTGCCTTGGCTGGGGCACGTACTACGTATGCCTGGTCACAGCTTACCGAGAAGGACCTTGTTTTGTCTGCTAAAGGTAGGGTGGCGCAAGGCCCGAGGTGTGCAAACGTTGACTTGGAAGCGTGAAATGAAGTAGCTGACTATCAAACTTGGTGGCCTCTGTCCGTCTCGCCTTCCAGACTGCTGTCCACGTGACTCGCCTTGTGCTTAGTTTGAGACTTTACCGAACATGACTTGCAGTCGGCACCAGTGGCGCGTCTATCTACCCACTGATGCGGCCTCTCTCGAAGCTGCCATCCACGAACACAATAAACAACAACTCTAGTATATCATCCATTTGAACTGATGTTTCGCTGCCGTACATCCATAAAGACCTACGGATGGACAGCTAATAATTAGAAGGGGGGCCTAGCGTATAACCTTAATGCCCTGACCGTGCATTCACACCTTGTGTCAACAACATACTGTCACAAACAGCTGGGTATTGTCCACAAACACGGTAGCTACCAGTCTCACCAAGTCTCAGTCAAGTTTCGCATACATTTCTACCGGGGTGTCGCGCACAACACACATACTCGATCAATGGGCGTACGAAGGACGTGAACTAACCAGGGTATGCGTCTCAAGTTTGGCGGACGTCCATACCCATCACTTTGTGGTGTTCTTCAGACATCAAGTGGTGGAATTCAGCATAATTTTTTGATGGTGGCTAAATTTATGACTCATGCAGTAACACTAGCCTTATCATAGCACTGTAGCGTTGCGTTGGGGAATGGTCTGATATCCCACCGTTTCCATGGATGGTTTAAACTTTGAGAAGCCACACCAGCTTTGTTGGTACATGCAGTAATCTCAATGATGTGTTTACCAGAGGTGACTCATCAACCAAGATCAGTGAACTGATCGAACTGATGCAGTGGCTATTTAGTGGTATGACTGGTCCTTCAACGACACCTTGCACTCTGAAGGTGCAAAACACACACCGTAACATTCAACCATGTACCTGCACAGAGGCTGGGTCCGACCCCAGGAGACGTGCCGTCGGCATAGTTATTGTTAGTCAGTTGGCTACGCGCCAGCGCTTCAACTCCAAGAAAGAATGATAGAGTAGAGCCTTTTACGCTCATTTTGATCGCAAATTGAGCAGGAAAGCGGACGTAGTATAACCATAGCGCGTCCCACTTATCGTAGGAAATTCGGGAGACAGCTTCTCGCTAACCTTAATCCGTTCTCCGGAGTCGTATAGTGCCTACAGATTAGGAAAGAGTTTAACTGACACACTTCTCACAGTTGGGTAGTACCGCAGGCTGACGCGATCTGCTTAGTCGAAGGCTACTTTCAAATGTGTGTCGTTGGGCCAGCATTTGACGAAGTGTGACTACGTGGTCACTGCATTCTCGATGATGGTTTTCAATGACTCGTCTCTCGCAGGGACCAACGAATGTCCACGGGCTGATAGCTGTGAGAGATTTGGAGGCAGTATCAATAAGGTCAATGCAGCGATGAGGATGGCATTTGACGTTCACCATTCTGAATGTACCTTCTCAGCGCTTCATACAGTGTTGGCGTGAGCGGCTAAACTGACCATCGTCGAATCTCGTCTATTCTTTAGCAACGACCGAACAAAGTTTTCTCGTCAAAACTCCTTGTTACGTTTCAACAGATCGAGCTCACATCTGCGCAGTGTGATTGTCCGGTCAAAGGGTTACAGCGGAAACTGTCGTTCATTATCGCATTCTCCTTATCAAGTGATCAATCGCTTACAACTACATGCAACCGATTGGAAGCATTCGTGTATGCAACATTTCTCTTTTTTCTCCGATACCGATCTGCAGCGGTTTGACAGGGCTGCTTTGTCAACATTACAGTTTTTTCGCATTCTCTTTCGGCATCACGCGGTTGCACTTGGCAACTTGTCCCCAATTGAAGATGTCAGCTGTGTTTACCTAAGTGACCGTGTCTCTTCTGATGATTTCATCAACGAAGAAGTTACTGCATGCATCGGTGAGGCGTAAGTAGCTTTTTAATGCCTCACGCATTCATGAGGATGACGAGACATCCGTCTGTGGGTAGAGCATACTGTCCTACAGAGCGGCTACCGTCACTAGGTAGGTCACGGACCTGGTCACTATGTTTTTAGGACTCTCGAAGACTGACCACCTGTCCCCACTAATATGTCAAACGGAAGCCTGGAATTTCCAGTACCGAAGTCCGTCCATTGATATTTGATAGTAATAATAATAATCTACCAGCTGCACGCCGTAACGGCACTTCGCTGCCGCGCGACCACCACCAGCCGCGCATGGGTTGAGTAGACCGCGAGGACGCCCGCCCCTACGGTCATTGTTTTATTATCCTCTGCGCTCTAATCTTCTAGTCACCTTCTCGCGTTTCTTTACCGCCCTCCCCATGGTTCTTTTTCAAAACTGCACTTTATCAATTAACCAGCAGATATTCTACGGAAACCTGCTGGCTTGGTCATCTTGGTGCATGTTGTCAATGCTTCTAAGTCGTTGTACGTATAGCGCATCCGCCGAGTCAATGACGCTGCTGCATTCGTTCCCTCATTTCCAACTCGGCTCCTCTCTCTGACCACTCAACTTTTTTAGCTATTTTCATTTTGGATGTATATATAGGCAAATGCATCTCCTATACCTCCTTCTTCGGATCGTAGTTGACCTTTCGCGCTGAAGGTATCGTGGTCTAGCGGTTCAAATGTTTGGATTGCACTCTCTGCGCCACGAACCCTAGTTACCGTTTGCGCGAGACTTTGACTGCCCCTCCATGCGGTCTGCAGAGATCAACCTTCCTATAAACCCGGTCAAGTCGCTATTCATATGGCTGGGTTAATGTGTACACAGTCAAACCTACACTGGCTGATCAGCCTTTGCATCCCACGACCTTTGGGGAGAGACCTCGGTTTACTCACGCTGCGACCTAAAGTCTGTGAACAACTTGAATAGGCTTTACCCATACGGACTTTGTATGCCTTTGGCGCTTAGCTGCAGCTTCAGCACTTGATCCGAAGAGATTGTCACTCGCCTCTTCGCCTCAATTGTACGACCAGTGCTTGAGTACCGCTCACCCGTATACTGTCCTATCACTCGGAGCAAGGCAGAAAGGATTGAGCGGGTTCAGGCATATGGCCACCAGCCTCATCCCCACTTTACTAGCTGTGCCGTGTGAAGACCGGTGCAAGAGACTAGGGTTCTACGTTCTGTCCTATCGTCAATTGCAGGTTGACCTCATCATGATGCACCGGATATTACATCTTGGTGATTATCTCATCTTCAGGCCGCTGCTTCATCTGCGCACACCAAGCAGCACACGAGGACACCGGCACCCGCTTGTAACACCGGATTTGAGGCGGGTCTTCCACCAAACCTGTTTCAGACGGAGAGTGATGAATGTATGGAACAACCTGCCGGCGCATGTAGTCGAGGCAAAGTCAGTGTCAGAATTCAAGAAATCCCTGTACAAACACTGCCGATCTGAAATATCGCGAACGTTCTCCAACACAGCAGGTCTTTTTACCTGAGGGATTTTAGATGCAGTTACGCGGACATCTCTTCTGGCTGATTCCGCATGGGCTCTAGCGCCCGTGCAGTGCCGTACGTATGACCTTTTGCAACGGTTGCATGGCGACTAAGCGTTGGTATGGAGTGTTGGCTTAGGCACATATATTAGCAGTACGCCGACACACTATATTGATGCTTCCCTGCCACTTGGCCACTGACGGTCGCGCAATGGCTCGGTAAAGCTCATGATCGTTCACAGCTACGCGGATTCGAACCGGCGACCTCCGGATCAAAACGCAGGCGCGTAATCCTTTCGATCAACGGTCGGTGTAGTTTTAGCGTGCTGATCATCATCACTACTCATTAGCTCAAGGTAATAAACACATTTCAGTTGTTGTTCCGCAATACAAAACGGTATGGTGTATGAAAAGCACGCAAACAGGTGTGTAAAGATAACTTCATTGGTTTACTGCTAACACTGTTTGAGTTATATTTTGCCTTTTTATCTCGATATTACACCGTCGGCGAAGATAATATTTATATATCCCCTTCCACTTTTCTACAAGGTTCCTGGTGTCAATCTACCGATGAACCATGTTGGCTTCTATCTTCTCACCCTTCTACTGTGCGCATTTCTTCACGAGGCTGGGCATGCTTTGGCCGCTTTGCGTGAACGCGTCCGATTGCACGGTGTAGGCGTATTTCTCTTCGGTTTCTATCCGGGTGCCTATGTGGATCTGAACACCGCGGACCTACAAAGTTTACAGCCATTCAGCCAGCTGCGGGTGTACTGCGCTGGTGTATGGCACAACGCGGTGATCGCATTGCTCAGTGTCGCAGTGTTTTACGCCACGCCGTTTCTGCTCTCACCCGGCTACCATACCGGTGCCGGGGTCGGAGTCGCGTTCCTACGTGAAGTGAGTTGTTTGCCATATGGTTTTTCGTGTTGGTTTTCCTTTGTTTTAGGCTTCCAATTCGCTGGGGGCAAACGGTGCATTTTTTTCATTGCAGCATACGCCCCCACGAACTGTAGCACTGATTCAGTGTAAGATAATTTCTATCACTAACTTAACAATCTCCTTCGTTACAAGCAGAGAACGGATACTGTTTTACTTGCTGGTGATCTGAACGCCAAAGCCGGAAAATTGTCCTCTGATGAGCTACCTCCGGGAGGCCAACATGGTGTGGACTCCTGTAATGGTAACGGTGAACGGTTGATACACCTGTGTGATAATGTTCGTCTCTTTCTTGCGAGCACTAACTTCCGACACAGCACCCGCCGGAGAGTGATATGGTACCAACCAGCCTCGGGTCAACCGTGGATGCAAATCGATGACATCGCGATCAGTTACTTCTGGAGTGGCTTTGTCCAAAACTGTCGCCCGATTTGGAGCACGAGCGTGGACTCCGATTACGCTCTTGTGTGTACCGACTTTCGGGTTCGTTTCGGCGGACGTTCGCAACGGCGCTGTGAGCGCATAGACAGTTGCCAACTGGCGAGACCTGGTGTTCTGAATGCGTATCAACGTACGCTGACATCCGGGCTGAGTAAGCACCCACTGAACACATTTGTAGATCTCTGGTCCCCTATTTGCCAGACGTTACTATCAGCAGGCATGTATTCATATGGTGAATTAAATTGTCAACCTGTACATTGCGTCTCGACGCAATCTCTGGAACTTCTGAATGCTCGCCAACGTATTACGGCTGGAATGGAACACATTGAGACTCGCAAAAATCTCAGGGCAAAGCTACGTTCTGCTAGCCTGAGACGCCACGAATTCTGGGGGTCTCAGCGTCCGTCGGAGATGGAAACAGTAGCTGCCGTTGGTAATCATCGTAATTTATTCCGTCTGCTACAGGAAGCAGGCAGCAGGAGACCTGGTGTTAGCGAGACCCTACGCGACGAGACTGGACAGCCCATCCACAGCATGTCAAATCGCTTGGGGCGTTGTGCTATTGATCGCTCTTCTCCCTCACCCGTCCCTATCCATCCACCCTCGGGCATCAGCAGTACGCCGGTACACAGTACCGACGCTTCGCTGCCGCGTAACCACCACCGGTCGCACGTGGGCTAAGGATACTGCAAGGGTCACCCTGCCCCTACGCAGGCTCGAACTTGCGCCGTCAGAGCACAAGACAATCTCGTTGCCTTTTTGCTACAGGCCTGCCCCGCCCTCCCGCTCAGAAGTCGAACGTGAGATAAGACTGCGGAAGTTGCTTAAGGCCGCAAGACAAGATGATCTTCATCCAACTCTCTTCAAATTCTGGAGACCTACACTAATGGATGATTTGCATAACCTATTGGTGAATCTACGGGCGCAGGAAACTGTCCCGACACAATTGGGCCGTCTTAATTTTCAAGATAGGCTGCCGTTCCAGATGCGGTAATCATAGAGGAATCGGCCTGATCTCAACTGTTTCTAAATTGCTTGCACCTATCCTTCTTCTTGGATTACCTGACACTCATAAAAGCCAGATTCCCTAACCGCAAGCCGTGTTTCGTCAATTTTTGAGCACGGCCATTTTTCAATATAGTATAACAAATACACTCATCGGTCGTTTGCCAAACCTTTTGAAACGATAACTTCTCGATCGGTTCCAAAATTTTTCAAGATAATCACCGCCGTTTTTCTTGCCCACTCACTGTAGTCGTGTTTCTCGACGTCAAATGTGCCTTTGATTCGGTTGATCGACGTATCTGTGGAGACGCTACTCAAAAATGTGTGCCCGATAAATACTTACATATTATCCGGGCACTGTACGCGCATAGTTCGAGTAGGGCAAGGATTGACAGCAAACTCTATCGATGTGAGACAAGGTTGTCCGCTATCACCTTTCCTCTTTAACTTCGCCATTGACGAAGTCATGGAAACAGCTTTTGCTCGACACGACCTACGGGATGTGGAACTGCTTCCTGGTGAGCGACTTCTTGCCTTGTAGTATACGGAGGACATTGCCGTCATCTGTGACAGCGCCCAGAGGTGCCAAGCAGCACTGGCTGTCAATGGTTTTGGTTTTGCTTTGCTCCCTCTAAGTGCAAAGTGCTGCTCCAAGAATGACAGGGGTCCACTGCTGCACTGACCATTGATGGGGATCAGCTAGTAATCGTTCGAAGATTCAACTACCTGTGCAGCTACCTTTGAAGCCGTGGGATCGAAGATGAAATCACGAACTGTATAGCAAAGATTGAGGTGCCTTTGCTCATCTCCGCCACCTGCGTCGCCGACGCGACATCACTCGCTCTGAAGTACAGAGTTTACAATGCAGTCGTCTCTTGAACCCTCCTAAACAGTTGTGAAACTTGGCCCATCAGGTCGAAAGACATAAAGACACTAGCTACGTTCGACCATCGCTGTCTTCGCAGCTTAGTCCATGTCTGGTCGGAGCACCGACTGAGCAATGAACATGTTCGGCGTCGCGTCTTTGGTGTAGGATTAGCTAGTGAACTGCTCAGCTCCATTATATAACACACCTATCTCCGACGGCCGGGCCACGTTTTGCGCATGCAAGCACACCGAATCCCGCGATGTGCATTGTTTTCGCGCCGGGGGCGCGATTAGAATTGGAGGAGGGGAGACCAGGCGATGACTTGGTCGAGAGGAATGAAGTCCCTCACTTCGAAGTTGGCGTTGGTTGGTGCATTCCGACTGCTGAGCTGGGGTCCCAAGGACGATAAACACGTTTGGCTAAATACACTTGCTGATATAGCTAGGAGCTGGTCCCAATGGTGTTTGTGTTGTGATTTTCTTTGCCCCTGCCGCTTAGCCTCCCACTCCAACCACGATCTCATTTCTGACGCATAATATAACCCATGTGCCGCAATATTCGGCTTCTAGTTCTTCGGAACGATATTCATCGGTTACTTGCATACCCGTGTTACGTCTTTGTCTTTCTCTTTTCTTGTCTTGCGGCACAGTAGCTGGGATGTTTTCCTCCTCTACCTTATGTGTATAATGAATTAATGAGCGTTCCGATATCATTTTCCGCAGTCCGATTTTCATATTGCATTGTCCTTCACCTCTTTCCAATCCACTTGTTTCCAAGTTGCACACATATGAAGTGAATCTCTGCATCTGGTAGTGGTCTTGTTCCATCTGGACTCTATCACACGGTCTCCATGGCTTGGAAAAGTGTTTGACAACCACTTTGTCTTAATACTGTCAATCAGCAGCCCGGATCTTTCACCACGCATCTTTCAACTTGTGGTCAGCAACTTATGCCACTGAGTCCTGTATAAAAATAAACATAATACAAATGTAGCTTCTCGATGTTTACCTGGGGCACGCGGTGATTGAACGACACGACCATTTGCGATATATTGTGTTTCATCTTCTACTGCTGTGCATTACTGGAGTACAAAAGACGACGTTGAGCTTCAGTGTCACGATATCCTTCGCTAAACTCGCAAAGTGTAGTGTTCTATACTGCTCAGTCAACTGCTGGTGTTAAGGGATTTCAGTTGGACCTTTCACAGCCTACCAGCTTGACCCTTGTGGACTATTGAGACGACTATTATCCTAAAACCACCAGGCACAACCACAAATTGTGGCGAATTATCTGGAGTTAGACGTGCTATTCATCTAGAATTCCTATATTCCTACAATGGCGTTAGCAAAGACATTGCCTAGCAAGAGTTACGGGTAGTCAGGGCAACATATTGTATCTAAAGCGATGGAAAGCGCACTCTTTTTATGTTAATGGATCTCTCATAGAGATTAGCTAAATTTTCCTCTCTTATCCTCGGATTATCTTAGCTTGAAGCCAACTGAGCATTAGCTAACCAATGATTGCGCTTCGGTTTACCCTGCAATTTTTAGAAGCAGGCAATATTCATCAAAGTCACCTATCACCCATGTAATCATAACCATTTTGAACTCACTTTACACCGAAAATTGTAAATTTTTATTGGCGTTTGTTTGTTTAGGTTTTCATCTTTTGACTTGGGTATTCAAACAGGTTGTACTCCGCATTAGCTGTACCGGACTATTTGCTATAGTTGGCAGAAACGCAATACTTTGATTACATCTTCGAGCTGCGAGATGATGGTAACCTTGGCTTTGCAATCTAATCCAGTTTCCATACCACTACTTTTATCTCTTGGATGTAACGCAGCCCACGAACTACCCGATTTTCGCATGTGAAAGTTGTCAAGAGAAGTACATCCTAGGGAATCGATCAATAGACCATATCTTGACAAACGATCTCATTGATTGATGAGAGGAATATTCTCGGATGGTCTGGTGGTACAACTTTTGGTAGACAAAGGATGGAAAAGAACGGAAGCCGTTCGAGAAGATTAATGACAGCATACGGATAACACTAGTCTGTGCTATGTAATTGACTTGTGATTTGCGGCAATTAAACTGCTGACCGATACATCTACTTGATCAACCAGTTGGAACGGTCCCGATCAACACTAACCAATCGGAATGACGACGCGACTTTGTAAGACCATAACAGGAGTTTTCACCTAAATTCATGCAGGCTTTCGATCATTAGCCGCGAACGTTTCAGTTCGTCGTCAACTAACCTACGCTCTACTGCAGCTGAACCGCTGGTTAGCACTATCCTTTTACCAGTAGGAAATACTTGTCGGTCCAAATCGACTGGAGCTGTTCCGTTATATTCCTGATTTTCATAGGAGGCTCACGTTCGTAATGCGACTTTCATTGAATTATTAGTTTGTTTCCAATTAACCATAAGTTACTTGCCCCTATCGTTCCTCATAGACTGGCTGGCACCCTTGGAAGCCGGGTTTCATCGAAATGAAGATTTCAGTGACCACATCCTGACTTTGTGTCAGCCGTTGGAGTACCGCCACTCCTATTGAAAACCCACCGTAGTTGTTCCTGAACATCAAGGAAACCTTCAATTCGGTGGATTGCTGCGTTTTTTCGCTGTTTGATTAAGCAAA